CACACACACACACACACACACACACACACACGAAAAAACATGCGTTTGCGAAGTAAAGCCGAGAAAATGGCACAGAAGGGTTTGAAGGGGAAGTCCCGCGGAAAGAGCGACGGGGCCCTGCGCAAGTACGTTGGAGATTCCAAGAAGAAGACAGTCCACAGCAAGCGGCGGAATACGGTCGAGGCGAAGGCGCGGGCAAACTATGTTTCTGCCGTTGAGTCGCACATGGCCTCTCGCGTGCCGTCCGACCAGCGTGGGCGTCTCACCGTCGTGAAGCCTACTGCTGGACAGACGAAGCTGAGCGGCAAGAAGAAAAACATGAAGAAGCCGCTGACGAGGGGACGCAAGCGCAAGTCCGCCAAGAAGGCGTAAGGAGGAAAGCCTTCAAGCATGAGAAAAACCGTTTTGGCCGGAACGTCCTTCACACCTGCACGCTTACAATAGGCGCAGCGTCATGAAGGAAAGGGGAGGAAGCCACACGGGCACGAAAGGGATGAAGCTTCTGCGCATGTGGGACTTGTGTGTCTGCGTCTCGTGCCCTTGGAGGGAAGAGGCGGGAGCTACGCATGCACGTCTACCCATAGATGCGTCCTTCGGTGCTCATCTAAGTGTGCGCCGCAACAGGAGTGTCTGCTGCTTTCACGGTAACCACGTGTTTGGATGAGCCTTTCACGAAGGAGGGAAATTAAGTGCGCGACAATGAAGGCCGTTTTTTATTTTATTTTATTTCATTGTTCTTTGCTTATTTGTTTCTCTTGTTTTCCTTTCTCTGTCATTGTCTCTGGAGGGCATAACATATTTGGTCAGGGTTTCCGCACGCCCCGCTCAAGGAGGGGGTGTTAAAAGACGAACAAGAAAAAAAAGAAAAAAAAGGGGGGGGGTACGAAGTTAAGAGGAAGGCACTGGCTTCTCCCACGGGCCACCGTCATCCGTGCTTGCAATCGCTTTTATCAGTGAAGCCTTGGCTTCATTACGTGAGGTCTGGGGCGTAGTCACTGCTCGGCAACGCACACACTAGCGAGGACGGCGCCGCTGTTTGATTGCCCAGTAATGGCAACTGCTCTGGCCCTGGAAAATAGGAAGCTGCGGAGGCGTCTGCAGGAGGTAGAGGAGGAGGTGAGTTTCCTGCGGGACCAGAATTACAACATCCAACGGGTGAACGATACCTACCGTGAGAAGCTCCTGCAGCACATTGAGGCAGTCCGTTTCAAGGCGTGCGGGGAGTCCTCGCCGGCCTTTGCAACTGCCGACGACCTGAAGGGGCTTGTACACCGGCTGCGCGCTCATGACGTCACTCACTCGCCTCCGCGTCCGCGAGTCACGGCGGCGGCGGCGGCAGCGGCAGCGGCGGACGCCCCTCCAAAAGGGTCGTTGCCCCGTGAAGGGGACGACGGCCTCATGCGTAGCACCAGCTCCCTCTCCCGCGCCACGCAAGAGGGGGAGGGCAATGGCCGTGGGCCGCGCAGGAAGGCGGTGTCTTCTTCCATGGGAGAAAAGTCGCACGCCAAACAATCTGCCACCGTGCAAAGCGCGCAACGCGCCACCATAGCAAAGTTGAGAGCTGAAAATAAGAAATTGGCGTCCCTCGTGGACACTCTTCGACTGCGTGTTGCGGCCGCCGGGCGTCTGAATGCGTCGTTGGAGAAAAAGTGTCGGGGCTTGTCGTCAGCGGTGGGTCGCGCGCAGACGTCGGGGCTGAAGTACCAGCAGGACGGCACGGGGAAAAAGCCGCTCCCCTCACCACAACTGCGCAAACGCTCGGAGGAGCTGCGGGAGGAAAATGAAAAACTCCGCGCCGACCAGGAGCGAAACAGGTACTTGGCCCAGGAGGTGTCCCACTACAGGACGCTGCTGGAGCAAAGAGGCAAGGAGGTGGAAATCCTCCGTCAGCGGGAGTCGTTGCGTCTAGAGGAGATGAATGGCGTGAAGGGGAAGTTGGTCAAAGCGGCGGAGAGGCTCCAGACGATGGGTACGGCTTTGCGCCTTAGTAAGGTTCGCGAGAAAAGGGCGACCTCCGCAACAGAGTCGCTGCGGAAGAAATATGAAGAACAGAAAGAGCAATGTGTGGCTGGGCCTGAAATACGGCCAAACTCGTTCTTCTCTACAGTTATTGAGCAGGTGTCGAAAGTGATGGGGCAGCATCACTCCTTGTTGAGTAAATGTCTGCTCGTCCACCACGCTCTGCACGTCCTTTTTTACCGCGGCTTCGCCGATCAAGAAGCAGAGGAAGCGGCACATGCCTCGGACGAAGAATGGAAAGGGATTGGAACGGAATCTCTGCTTGAGGCGGTGACTCGCCTCACGCATTTGTTAAACCTGGTTGAGAGGAAGGCAATGGTGCCCATCGCCCCTGCTACTCCGGACCCGTTGACTCTGGGCAGCATCAATCTTGCAGTCCCCAAGCAAACGGGAGGTGTTGGAGGGTGCCGTCGCTTGGGTGGTCCTGCGGATACACGTCTAAGAACTTCGCTGCAATTGGTCGCGGGTGGCAGTGACGACAGTGAAGACGCTGGGGTGGAGGGTGGGGGTGAGGAGTCGTCATTGTCAGGGAATTCCATGCGTGAGGCGCGACTTCTTCCGCGAGGTGACGAGCGAGGTCATCTTCAAATGAGGGATGCTGCCACAATGACTGTGTCTCCAGTCCAGATTAGTCTGGCACTTGGACGCAGCTTGCCTGTTTCCCCGCTCCAGTCGAACAGAGCCACCGAAACCATCTCCCCGCCCCTGATCAGCGTTGCTGTAGGGCCAGGCTCCGATGCTGAGGAGAGCGTACTCATTTTGCCAGCGGCCTATTCAGTGGCTGGGCCTGCAGCGGTGGGTTGCCCACTGGAGTAACGTGCGCGTGAGGAGGGCTGTTCGGGTGTGGTGGAAGGCGTTTGGTGCGACTCATGCGGAGAGGCAAATTTACGTCATGGGGTTCCATTCATTTTCCCATCCGCGGTGGTGATTCTATTTTTTTTTTTTTCTATCTCTCTGCGTGTGTGTGTGCGTGAGAGAAAGAGGGCGAGAGGGAGAGAGTTTGCTCCACCGCCTCACTTATGATGAGTTCTCCCCAAACCACAAGGGGGAAATGTGTCCTGTGGATGCGTGGGTGATGCCGTTATCTAATGGTGCCAACGATAATTCCGCATTAGGGGCAACTGCAAAGTTCTGATTGTGTGAGGGTTTGTGTTGATTTTCTTGGTGGGGCTGGTGGGAGCGTGGCTTGCCACCCATATTTATATATTATTGACGACATCACTTAGTTTCCTTTCCCGCTTTTTGGCGGTGTTATCGTGTGCGGCCTCTTGTCTCACCGGCAGCAGGCCCATACTTCCCTCCGCAACATTTTTTTCCGCCCTCCTCCCCTCACTTGTCTGTTCTTTTTTTTTTTTTTACCTTTCGGCCAATCCCACATTCACCTTCTACCGCCCTGTTTCATTCTGTTCTGTTTTTTTTTATTTATTTTGTTCTCGTTCCTCTGCCTGCATCTCTTTTTTCCTTTTTTTTACCTTCTTTTTCTTCTTCAATGTGGCGTGGGTGGGTGTGCTGTTGGGCGGGAGCGGCTCTGATAGCTTCTGCGGCGTCCCCGCACAATCTCTCCTCCCGCTTGCAGAGAATAGAGGGAAAATTTAACAAGGCAGGGATAAAATCAAACTGAAGGCACGGCACCGCCTTGAGAGAGTCCCCCCCCCCCCCCCCTTCGATTCCGCGCGGAAAGCGAAAGAGGTGTAGGAAGCAAGACGGGCAGCAGCTTCACTGGATCGGACGATGAACGCCTATGAGACTCTCACCGCTGTGGGCGAGGGCCCCTGCAGCATCGTCTACAAGTGCCGGTGTAAGGCCACCGGAGAGATTGTCGCAGTCAAGTGCTTCAAGGAAATGAACGGAAATATGTACGCCATGCTTGCGACGCTTCGCGAGCTGCGCATCCTAAGGATGATGCGGGGTGAGCCAAACGTGGTGCAACTCAAAAGTGCGTCTCGCGAAAATGGGAAGCTGTATTTGGTGATGGAGTGCATTGAGACCAACTTACTGGACGTTATTCGCAAGGCCCCCGCCGGTGTGCAGCTGCCGCAGATGCGGCAGGTTTTCTACACCCTGCTCTTGGGGCTGCGCTCGTGTCATCGCAAAGGCGTCATTCACCGTGACGTGAAACCTGAGAACGTTCTCGTGCGTAATGGTCTCTCCGCCGTCGTGTGCGACTTCGGCGCCTCGCGGACGGTGGAGCCTCCCCGGACCGCAATGACAACGAGTGGTGGTCTTCTGAACGCGCCAGAGGGGCAACTGCCACCACTCACGGAGTACGTCGCGACGCGGTGGTACCGCAGTCCTGAGATGCTGCTGGGGATGCCGAGCTACAGTTATGCCGCCGATATGTGGGCGGCTGGGGCCGTCTTGGCGGAACTGGCGCGGGGTGACCCACTTTTTCCAGGGAAATCCGAGGCGGAGCAGCTCTCCCTTATTCAGCAGCGCGTGGGTGGCTTTCCCCCCTCGATGACGCAAAACGGTAAATGCACTTCCATGGCGCGCGCAATACTATCAGCACACACCAGCCACTGTAAGACGCAGGCAGAGTTGGCAGGAGACTACCTCAACCAGCAATACGGTGAGGCGCTTGGGGAGAGTGGATTGGGTCTTCTTCGTTCGCTGCTTACTATTGACCCGGGTAAACGATGTACGGTGGATGAGGCGTTGGCGCATTCCTTTTTCGACGGATTGGTGTTGAGTGGCGTGCCGCCGCAGCCGCGCAGGGACAGTCTCAGCAAGGCGGTGCCTGCGTCCGCTGGTTCTGCGCCCTCACCGATTCTAGCACCAAACCCCGCCGTCCGTGTAGACGCGCATGATAATTGGTTTGGCCTCGGTGAGGGGAGGCCCGTGCAGCTGCAGGAAATTGAGACGCTTCGCAACTCCAGTGCTGCGGAGCCGCGTGTGCACGACGTGCTTCCGATGGAAGTGGAAACGACGCACGCCTCATCTGCCTCCTCCAAGGCGAGGATAAATGGGGATGTGACTGCAGACTGTTTGACGCCCTCCTCAATCGCGTCCTCGTGCATTGACAGTTCCCCCGACGAGGAGGTGGTGGGGAGCATCAAATCGCCAGCAAATCACGCTGCGGGACTCACAAGCATTTCTTTGACCTCGTCATATTTTTTTCGTGACCTTCAAACCGGCTCTTACTCCTTGTCCTCGTGCTTCTCGGCCTTCTCCAACAAGGCACCGACACGGCTGCCGGTCTACCAGTCGGCTCTTCCAACCGAGCTGAACAAATTAAATGTGGGTCGCACGCGACTTCCAGAGCTGAAGAAGCGTGTCGTCTTCCCAATGTCCTTTCTGCCCCAAACCCTGGCTAACGACGTGAACAAGGGTCGTAGTAAGGTTAATGGTGAGGCTTCCGTGGAGGGTGCCAGCAAGGCACAAGGCACGGGAATCAAGGTGCTCCGTCAACTCTCACTGAAGCGGAGGGGCCGACTAGTGTTTACCACTAAGTCGTCTGTGGATAGTTAGTAGGCGTGCAGCACGCCTCCGGGGACACCCCGTTTCATTTACTGCTTGTTTAGACTTCCATTTTGTGCTTACAATTTCATTGTTTTTTTGTTTAAAAGTTTTGCCGTGTAGGCAAATATATATATACATATTTATATGCCTTTTTTGTGCATTGCTCACGGAGCCCAACAGTTAAGTTGGGAGAGAAGGCGAAGCAGGTTTTACAGCCACTCGTTTTGGCAAAGTGGTAAGTATTGTGGCGGTGGGATGAGGCAGTGCCGGGTCCTGGCGAATCCTTGGCTCGTGCAACTCCCCTTTCGCCAAAACAGGGCATATGCAATAGTAATATTAATAAGCGAACAGGTGTGGGAAGCAGTAAGTAGGTCAACTCGAAAGTGAAAGTTTTTTTTTCTTTTTCGTGTGTATAGTTACTCCTTCTGTTTGTCCTTGGACCGACTTATTCCCTCCTTCTGTGTGTTGCCTACCCGCTGAACCCACTACTTTTTCTTGTGTTTGCACCCATTGCGGTGCATGTACCCATTCCCTGCTCTGGACAAGGGAGTGAGTATCGTTTTTTCCCCCGTTTTTTCCCCCTCCCCCTTCCTCTCTTTCTACTGAGTAGGAAGTTGGATGGTGAGAGCTATTGCTCTGCGTGAGGCGTTGCCCACCGAGGGGGGACAGAAGAAGTAGAGACGGGGAAGAAAAGAATGTCCTTCACTCCTTCGTCTTTCTGAGGCGTCTTTGTTTGTGTGCTTTCTTCCATGTCTCTCTTGCCTTCCCACGGGCGCGCAACGCTCGCCTTTTTCGCCACTTGTAGTTGAAGTGCTGCTTTGCCGAAAGAAGAACAATCGCCGATGGTTGGGAATGGACGGCACAAGCCTTGCGGAGGCCGTGGAGACGCTGCTGCGTGCGTGCTCGCGAGGCGGAGATCGCGCGGACGTGTCTCGACTACTGTTGCTGCAGCAGAGTGCGGCGGGGCGAGTGAGTGACGTGGACGAGGCCGTCGAGGAGGTGGAAGGGGCGAGTGTCGTTGATGAAGTGTTTTCTTTTGGTGGGGCTCACGGGGCCGCTCCGCCCCGCCCCGCCGCGCCGCCTCCCTGCAGCATCGGGGCCAAAGAGCTGTGGGAGGCCTTTCCCTCGTGGTGCCGCGACACCGCGCTGCAGCGGCGGCGGGGCGGCGAAGATTCCCTCCACAGACGTTCCTTTGTGTGTGGCGCCTGGAATGTTGGGACCGTCGCTGGTGAGTTGCGTTCTCAGAGCGCCTGCGTACTGACAGCTGTTTACCGAAGTCCATGGTCGCGTCGCTACCAACTTCCTTTTGGGACTGTGGAGGATGCTGGTGACGCCAGTAGCGACAACAACACCCGCAGAACAAGAGGCGTCCATTCACTGGAAGAGGAGGCTGGCGCCGTTGAAGAGGCGCACAATGAGGGGAGACTGAGAGGAGCAGTGGACTATGGGAACCAGGGCACCATTATCACGGAGTTTGAGCAACGGCTAAATGAGAGACTCGCGAAGTACGGCGCTCAGTACTTTGGCGCACCTGGCGATACAACCTGTGACGACACGGAATCGCCCCTTTCCTGTCCTTGGGCCACGAGTGCGTTTGTGAGGATTCTCTCCTCCTCCGCGGAGGAGGTGACGTTGGAGGTGATGGTGCTGACGTGTGTTGACGTCGCAGAAGAGCAACCAATGCGGGCAGCGGCGTCCCTTTTTGACGGCAGTGAGGTCGTGAGCAAGGATGGTTGGCTGTCTTGGCCCGCAATGAGTGCCAGCGGCCACTCAAAAAGGAGAAGGTGGTCTGCCGGACACGCCTTTCAGCTGCGAGTGGGCCCTACAGAACTGCGGCTTCGCCATGACAGTGCGCATCTCATTGCCAACTGCAAATATACGTGCGACCGTGGCGTGGGGGACGCTGCTACTGCCTACAATCGCATGTGGCTTTTCCACAAGACTCACGGACGTCCAGAGACATTGCCGGTTCCCCGAAAACGATGCAGGAATCATGATTTGGGTGCCGCCTTGGCAAGGGGAAGCGCGACGGGCCATTTCCTCTTGGAAACCCTTGACCTGGATGCTGTAGTGTGTCGCGTGTGCACTGGCGTGGAGATGAGTGACAATGCCGTGGTTCCGCTAGCTGTGACGCCCGTTGTGCGCGTTACTTTGCCGCTGCTGGCGCCCTCGCCCGGACGGGTCTGGGGTCCGGCGCTGCAAGAGAGGTCCGCTGTGGTTGCCGCGGCGGGAATCGGCGTGGCGGCGATGGTGTGCAGCGAAGGTGCGAGGAGCTGAGGAGCGACGAGGACGCGCTTGTGTCAGCGAGCAAGTTTTTTTTATTTTTTCATTTTTTTCGCCGTCGTTCTTCTTCAGGCCCCAGAGAGGCAGTTTTGTGCTGCTTTCGTTTTACTGCGCGGAGGGGGAGGGGGAGGGGGGTCGCTGGGGCCCACAGAAAGGCAGCTCCTCCCGCTCGCCTTGGCACCCCCTGCTTCTGTGTCTTCTCAATTCCTTTTTGTTTTTCTTGCTCATGCTTCTTCTGCCCGTGCGCGTGTTGGGCTGCAGCTGCTGCGGCAGACCCAGCGTGTACTGAAGAAAATGCATCCGGTGCAGCCGCACATCGACGAGCTGCGGCGGCGATTTAGCAGCGTGAAGGTCCTCCACCAAACCGCCTCGGAAATGTTTTTGCGGGTGGAGCACGCCCTCCCCGAGCTCGGCTGCACCGCGGTGCTCTGCGTGGCGCTAGACTCCGCGTTTCCCCGCAAGCCCCCGATCGTGACGTACTTTGACGGCCGCACGCTACCCATATCTCCCACCGACGGCTCCACCGAAGACGCGTGGGACCCGGCGTCGTCGCGGTTGGCCGACGCCGTTGCGAACGCCTTCGCCAACTTGGCACTCCTGTGGGGGAGCGTGGTGCCACCGTCGCCGGAGTCGCTGGCCGCCCAGCTGAGCTCGCTCTCCGACTCCATGCTGCTGGACATCGTGTCGAATCCGAACTGCCTCGAGTCCTACGCCTATCAACTGCCGTTTTTCAAGGCCATCCGCGACGCCAGTGGCCAAACGCTAGATGAAATTGAGCGAGTAGCAAACGAAAACTTGAAGCTGCAGCCGGTGCTGGATCAGCTGCGGGCCGAAGTGGAGGGGCTGCAGCTGTCTCTCGAGCAAAGCGTGCAGTCCGTGCAGAAGGTGCCGCAATTGGTGCCGCTTTTGAATTCCATCAGCTCCCAAGAGAATCTAGCGAAAGCGCTTGCGACCGATGTGAAGGCGCTTGACGCCCAGCGTGAGGAGATTGCCAGGCGATTGCTGCAGGTGGATTATGCCACAGACCGCCGCCGCTTCGACGCTCTTCTTGAGGAGTACCGAGGAAAAGCAAAGGAGCGCCACGTCATGGATCTCAAGCGGCGGGCCTATTGTGCCTCACTGAAGTGAGTACGCCCATGACAGAACAGTGGGGTGAGGGGGGGGAAAAAAAAGAAGGCCGAAACAACTATTGCCTCCCAAAGAGTTGAAGAAGAAGGGAAAAGGGGCTCTTCTATCGAAGTAGGCGGAGAAGAGAAGGCGTGTTATCCCAACTATGGCCTTGAAGTCTTGGCAAATGTTTATCTACACACTGCCATAGTGGTGCACGTTCCGTGGCGACTGTTGGGGCAACTCGAATTTGTCTTTACATTCAGCTCAAAATTTACTTAATCTTGCCTTGCTCTTTTTTTTTTATTTGTTATTATTGCTATTTCTTTCGGCACAAGCACACGTTTTTACGGCAAGGGATGGAGAAGAGCATTCAGTACTGGGTGGATCATCTGCGCCTTCAGCCCCACCCCGAAGGCGGGTTCTTCGCAGAAGTGCTGCGCTCAAGCGAGATGATGAAAACGGACAGGGGAGAGCGCTGCTATTACAGCAGCATTTACTTTTTGCTGACGCACGAAAGCCCCTCACACTTTCATCGCATCAAGTCGGACGAGGTGTGGTACTACCATGCGGGGGCGCCGCTGACGGTGCACATCCTTCACCCGAGCGGCGCCCACGAGGCACTTCGGGTGGGCCCGAACCTTGAAAAGGGCGAGGTGTTGCAGGCTGTCGTGCCAAAGGGCGTCATATTTGGCTCCAGTGTTGAGGAGCCGGGTGCCTTTGCCGTCGTGAGCTGCATGTGCTCCCCGGGATTTGACTACGCCGACTTTGAGCTTTTTACAAAGGACCACCTCATGTCCCTCCACCCGCAGCAAAAGGACATTATTGACAGGCTCGCCTACGACACACTCACCGCGTAGCTTGCGTCGTGTTTATTTTATTGCGCCTTTGCTTTTCCTTCTTTCTGGAAGCCTGCAAGAGAGGGAGGGATGGAGAGGGTGTACGGTTTTACGGGTGTCGGGCAGATATACCTCAATAATGTCATCCCGCTCCACGCAGCGCTTGAATTCGGATCGTCGCAAAGGGGCAGGGTTGGGCAGCCCGCCCGCCCAATCGTTTTCCTCGTCGGCACGGCATTGAGAGAGAAGTGGGTGTCGGGGAGCGTCGTTGTCGACGCGTTTTTGTTGTGGGTGGTTGGGCTTTGACCGTGGGCCCACAGGTGGAGTGCTAACGGAGGCACAATGTAAGTGGCTCGGGCCGCAGTCGAGCGTAGCTTAAAGCGTGGACAGTTGTTTTTTTTTTTTTTTTTTTTTTGCGCCTCCCCGCATTGTTGTTGTGCGCGCTTTTTTTTTTTTTTACTCTGCAGGTTGACTTGGGCTCGGATGGGCGCCGAAGTGAAAACGAAGATATTGTGGATCGCTGAACAGGGGGGGTGGGGGAGTGAGAGACAAAACGAATTAAAATAAAGCGCTCGACCCCTGGCGTTTTGTTCGGTTTCTGCCCTCTCACTTCTCGTGGCGGCGGTGGAAAGACGAAGTCTCTGCGAGGGGGTGGCGCGTCGGCGCCTGTGCGGCCTCTCTCCCTTCCGCCTTTCATTCTCTCGCTCCCCGCCGCCCTTTTTGTTCACCGCCACCACCACTCATGGGCGCGGGGCGGAAGGGACGCACGTTGAAAAGGAAGACAACACAAAAGAAAGGCATAAGCGAACGGCGCAACGGTGCTGAATGTCCAGTGGCGGGGATCGTTCCCCCTCCGATGAGGTGACGCTGTGCACGAAGTGCCACGCCGATGAAACTCAATACCGCACCAACACCTGCCGGCATGTGCTTTTTTGCAAAAAGTGTGCAATGAAGTGCGCAACAGGGGGAAAGTGTAAGGTGTGCGGAGAGCTGTACTCCGGCGTGGAGCGCGTCCGATGACGCGGGAGGTGGCAAAACGGTGAGATCCACGGCAAACACGTGCAGTGTCTTTTCTGCCTGGCTCACATTCAATTTATTTTCCTCTCTCTTTTATTTGTTTCTCTTGTTTTATGTCGGTGTGTGTGTCTGCGGGTGTGAACCACTCTTCACAACTATGTTCAGCCACACGAGAAGGAGCACACACACACACACCGGGCGGTGGTGGTGGTGAGTTGTTGTTGTTTTTTTTTTGTAATTCGTGTTTCTGCCTCGCGCCCCACGCGTTCTATTTTGCTCCTCTTTTCTGCCTCGTGGCACCACACGCGTAAACTAAGCGGAGGAAGGAGAGCTGGGCGTGTGTGCGTCAGCGTCAGCGAGAGCGAGAGGGAGAGAGAAAGAGATGAACACGCGCTCCAAGAGAGGCAGGCGCAAGACGGTGGAGGAGCCGGAGGTCCACGAGGTTGCAACCACCCCGCCCGACGCCGTCGCGGCTCCCGAGCAGCAGCAGCAGCAGCAGCAGCAGGATCAACAAATCGCGGATACCGCCAGCAATGGCGGGTTTCGCGTCGTCCAGGTGCTGGAGAATTACGGCATCGGCAACGGGGGACATTAAAAAGCTCATGGAGTCCGGCTTCTACACCGTGGAGTCCATCGCGTACGCCCCCAAGAAGCACATTTTGGCTGTTAAGGGCATCAGTGAAATGAAGGCGGACAAAATTATGGCGGAGTGTGCGAAGTTGGTGCCCATGGGCTTCACCTCGGCGGTGGTTTACCACGAGGCACGCAAGGAGATCATCATGGTGACCACCGGCAGCCGCGAGGTGGACAAGCTGTTGGGCGGCGGCATTGAAACAGGTGGAATTACGGAACTCTTCGGGGAATTCCGCACTGGAAAGACGCAGCTGTGCCACACACTCTGCGTCACTTGTCAGCTGCCCATTTCGCAGGGTGGTGCGGAGGGAATGGCGCTCTACATAGACACCGAGGGCACCTTCCGACCAGAAAGGCTGGTTGCAGTTGCGGAGCGTTACAAACTGGATGCGCAAGATGTGCTCGCCAACGTCGCCTGCGCCCGCGCCTTTAATACAGATCACCAACAACAGCTGCTTCTTCAGGCATCTGCAATGATGGCTGAAAATCGATTTGCTATAATTATTGTGGATTCTGCCACAGCGCTCTACCGCACAGACTACTCCGGACGCAATGAGCTTGCAGCAAGACAGATGCACCTTGGGAAGTTTCTTCGCTCGCTGCACAACCTTGCGGAGGAGTACGGCGTGGCCGTGGTCGTGACCAATCAGGTTGTTGCCAACGTAGACGGCTCTGCACAAATGTTTCAGGCGGATGCAAAGAAGCCCATTGGCGGCCACATCATGGCGCATGCCTCCACCACGCGACTGAGTCTTCGCAAGGGGCGGGGCGAACAGCGCATCATTAAAGTCTACGATTCTCCCTGCCTTGCCGAGGCGGAGGCCATATTTGGCATTTACGAAGACGGCGTAGGGGATGCAAGGGATTAGTGGTGTAAGCCTTACACCATGATTGGGACTTAAAGTATTTTATTTAGTCTTTTTTTCATCATTTGTAGTTTGTATAGGCTCTTTTTTTTTTTAAGTTTGCCCGATGCCCGTCTGCTGCCCAGTACAGTGAAGAAGAAAGAGAAGCCAATAAGCCCGAAGGCAAAAGCAGGACGTGCGAGAGTGAAGTACCAACGAAAGCAATGAAGCTGGCAAATTTGCGCGTGGGAAATACTTTTTCGCCATCTACCGCCTTAACGACAAGCAACAACAACAGCAGTGGTGGTGTTCTCTCTCCCTGTGTGTGTGTGTGTGGCCCTTCGCCTTCGAGTCGGCTCGCTCTTCAATGTGTTGCTTCTTCCTGCACACTCACTCACACTCGCACTCACACACACTCGCTCTCTCTCCTGCTCTGCAGCGAAGGAGGCAAACTACTACCCCCACACAAGGAAGGATGACGACGAAGCGCCGCAACCATGGCCGTGCCAAGCCCCCGTGCTCCCGTGGCCGCACACGCCCCGTGCACTGCTTCAACTGTGCTCGCCTCGTACCGAAGGACAAGTCCGTGGGTCGCTTCGTTGTGCGTCGCATGCTTGACCAGGCCTCTGCCCGTGATGTGGCGGAAGCATCTAACGTCTACGGCGCCGGGTTCCCGATGCCCAAGCTATACATGAAGCAGCGCTACTGCATCGCGTGCGCCATCCACAGCCGCACCGTCCGCGCCCGCCCTGTCGAGCTGCGCAAGCGTCGCTTCACGACGAAGATGCCCTTCCGCCCGAAGGGTGCCAAGTAAGCGTGCCGCATGCGGGATTGTGACGCTCCTCTGCCACAAAGAGGGTTCTCTTTGATGTTGGAGTTGTTTTTTTCGTCTCTGAAGTCCCCTTTCGGAGTTATGGAGCCTCATCGCCTACATATTTTTCTTTTGTTTTTATTTTTAACAAATGACGAAGCTGAGTCGCCTTGTTTTGTTTTTTACTTTCCTGGTTGCCGCGGGAAACCGTCGCACGTGCAGCGCATGTGTCAACTGGGAGTGGAGGGGTCGTGTAAGCGATTTCCTTCCCTCCCAGTCGTGTGTGCTCGAATTGCCCTTTTCCTCTTTTTTCCTCGCTTTGGGTACCTCCCATGAATGGGAAGGTGTGTGTGGGTGTGAGAGAGAGAGGCTGGGTGGTTGAGTGGGTGAGTGCAGTTAGTGTGTGAGGATGACGAGCATTGAACAGATTCAAATCAGCGGGGTCCGCAGCTTTGATCCCAACCCGGCGCACCGTCAGACAATCGTTTTCCAGAAGCCCCTCACCGTCATCCTCGGGAAAAACGGTGCGGGGAAGACGACCATCATAGAGGCACTACTAAACGCCTGCACGGGGCAAATGCCTCCTGGCAGCGGTGCCGAGAAGAGTTCCTTCGTGTACGACCCGAAGGTGATGGGCGAAACGGATGTCAAGGCGCAGATTCGCCTGCTGTTCACTGGGAAAGGCGGCAAGGTGATGCAGGTGATACGCTCCTTTCAAGCCCTGCGCGCCCGCAACAAAACATCCTTTACCACACTCGATAGCACGGTGGCCTTCCAGGACGCCGCCACTGGCAAGGTGGTGTCCAGCACTTACCGTGCGAACGACGTGGACCGCGCCGTGCCTGAGATGCTGGGCGTCTCGCCGGCGGTGCTCGAGCACGTCATCTTTTGCCATCAAGAGGACGGGAACTGGCCCTTGTCACCGCCCAAGGAGGTCAAGAAAATATTTGATGACATTTTTGCGGCGACGCGGTATGTCTTGGCACTGGACCGGCTTCGCGAGAACAGCAAGGAGTTTCGCCGACAGCAAAAGGAGCACGAGGCCAATTTGATGGCGCTGCGAGAGCACCGGGAGCAGGCGCAACAGCTCACACTGGACATCACCGCTAAGGAGGAGTTGATCCGGACCATTGAGGAGAGAGCCAAGTCGCTGGAGCCTCAGCTGAAGAAGATGCATGCTGTCACTGCGGCTCTGAGCGCTGTGGAGCATAACGCGGAAAATTTAGCACGCGAGGCCGCGATCCTTCAAGGCCGCATAGACGAGAAGCAGCAGTCCCTGCATCGAATGACGCTCCCTGCGACGACGCTCACTGTGGAAGCGATGCTGGAATTCAAGCGGGGGTTTGATGAGCGCATCAAAGGTCTTGAGACAGAGGCGTCGGAGAAGGCGAACCTCCTCGAGAAGGCTGAAGCAAACAGGCGCAAACATGAAGAGACGGCGCTGCATCTTCGCTCGAACATCAGCTTCCTTGAACAGAAGGAGCGGCAGTACACGCAGCATTCTGTGGAACTTCAGGGGGTTGTCACGAATATATCGGCGGGGCTCGTATTGGGCGAGAGTGACATGAATGAGGAGGGCCTGCAGCGTGTGGAGGAGCATGTGACTGCGGAGTTGCGAAAGGCGACCGCGGAGCGTGACGAGACATTGAGGGGGTTTGATGACAGTATGAGGCTTCTCGAGGAGGAGCGTGGCAAGCTGCTGCGCTCAATGGATGCGGACAACAAGGAGAAAGACATGAAAGAGGAGCAGCTGGCGCACCTGCACCAGCGCATATTGGGTGCTGAGGAGGCGCTGGGAAAGTTGAAGCCGCACGTCAGGGCCACGCAGCTGGAGGCACTGAAGAAGACGATCTCCGACTTGGAGCAGCGTGTGGAGGCGATGGAGGAACTGAGGAAGCGAGGAGAAAAATATAGGCAACGAGAAGACATTCTGGAGAAAATAGAGGCACAAAACTGCGTCGTCGCGGTGCTGCGTCAAGAGTTGGCGAAGCAGAAGGAATGCTTGGGTGGGGAGGCGGAGATGAATCTGCTTCGGGCACAAATCACAGAGAAGGAAAAGCTCCTTGAGGAGGAGCTACAGGAGACACTTGCGCCGGAGCTGTCCAGGTTTGGGCACGAGGTGGCTGAGGGCCGCTCTTTGTCGCAGCTGTCACTCCTCATTGAGCAGCTCAGGGAGCAGAAGCTGGGCGCACTGCGTGTTATTCAGACAGAGCACGGGGAGCTCGATCGTCAAGTTGCCGTGCTGCAACAGAAGCAGTCGCAACGAATGGAGGAAATTGTACAGGAAAAACTGGTGTTGCAGCAGAAACGTGCGACCTGCGCAAAGGTGCTTGGTGGCTTGAGTGAACTCGATCAGTTCGAGGCTGTCCTTGACGAGGCTCGTGAGTCCTTGCATAAGACGAGAAACAGGCGTCACGCGCTGGAGGCGATGGCGACGTGCTACGCCAACTTTCTGGAGGCGGCCAGGGCGGAGGGCAAGTGCCCTGTGTGTGACCGCGGGTTCAAGGACGACGCGGCGCTGGCCCACTTTGTCGAACTCCACGAGAGTCATCACGAGGCGTCGCCAGAGATGGTTGCGAGGGCGCAGTGCGAGGCGACGCAGGCCGAAGAAAAGGTGCGCCGGTTGGAGAGTCTCGAGGCGGATGTGCATGAAGTGAGACGGCTGGCGGCGAGTGTTCCACAACTGGAGCAGCTGGTGGCATCGATCAGTGAGGAGCTGGCGAACAAGTCTGCCTTGCTGGAAGATGTGGAGCGGAAGCGGGAGGATGTGGAGGGTCAGATGAGGCGTGTGCAAGACCTGGTGCGGACCGTCACCGACCTGAACGCAGTCGCCGGTGACATCCGGGCACTGAAGCAACAGCTTTCCCGCAGGGAGGCTGCCGTACAAGGACTCCAGGCGGAAGCGGCGGCGGCGGCTGGTGGTGGTACCGGCAGCCCTCGAGCATACGAAGAGATTTCGGCGGAGTATGAAAATGCCAGCACCGAGCTTTATCGTCTTAACGTGATGCTGAATGAGGCACAGCGGCGCGAAGAAGGGGAGTCAGACCAGGCGACCGCCAGTGAGCTCAACGCGAGGCGGTCAGAGTACTACCAGTTGGAGATGAAGTTGGCGCGGCAGGGTGAGCTGGAGGAGGTGCTTGCACGCTACAAAGCTGAGGCCGACGGCTACAAGGAACGCATTGCTGCCATCAACGGTGAGCAAGAGGCGTTGCGCGAGGAGCTCACGCGTCTGCAGAGCCGTCTGCGGGGCCTTCAACAGGGGCGTCAAGAGGCCGAGTGCGCCTTGCAACAGGGTCGCATCGGGAAACTAGAGGCCTCGGGGCGAACGCTGGCGGGGATTTTGCCCCACATGCGTGAATACGTTGCGTCGAGGCATGGAGACCAGCTGGCTAGCGCGCGGGATCAGCTGCGTGCGGTAGAGGCGGCAACGTTGACGGCCGTTGATGAGGTGAAGCGGCTGCGTGAGGCGATTCACGAGTCGCGGCGTGTGGTGGAGGAACAACATCGGCAGGCGGCGGAGGTGGAGAGGCACATGGAGGCCTTTGAGAAGCGGCGAGGGGTGGAGGAGGATCAGGCGCGGCTGCGGGAGGTTGAGCGCTCCCTCACCGAGTTGAAGGGCCGAGAGGTTCACGGCGTGGAGGCACTTCTGGGGAAAGACGTCATTGCGCGTGAGACGGTGCCACGCATTCGGGAGCTCATCCGCGAAAAGGTGAGCGAGTTGGAGAAAGCGCGTGCGCAGCAGGAGGGAAACGTGGAGGCGATGATGCAAGACGTGGCGCACCTCAAGGGCCAACTGTCGCATGCGAAGTACAAAGACATCGAGAAACGCTACCGCTCGACGTTCCTCAAGGTGCAAACGACGGAGATTGCTGTTGCGGACATTGAGAAGTACTACAGGGCCTTGGAGAAGGCCGTGCAGTCGTACCATCATGAGAAGATTGCCCAGATCAATCGGATTTTGGCCGATCTGTGGCGGCAGACGTACAAGGGAAGCGACGTTGACACCGTGGAGCTCCGCTCCGAGGATGACGCGACGTCGACCACGGCGCGTCGCAGCTACAGCTACCGCGTCGTGATGAAACGCGGGAACAGTGAGATGGACATGCGTGGACGCTGCAGCGCCGGTCAAAAAGTGTTGGCCGCCGTGCTTATTCGCCTTGCGCTGAGTGAGGCGTTCTGCTGCGACTGCGGCATCCTTGCGCTGGACGAGCCAACGACAAACCTCGACGAGGACAACGCCCGCTCGCTTGCAGAGTCGCTGCGGCAGCTTATCGACAACCACCGCGCCGTGAAGCACTTTCAGCTGATTGTCATCACACACGACGAGCAGTTTGTGCGGGCCCTCGGGGGGCAGGCGCTGGACACGTTCTACTACATTCACAAAGACCGGGAGGGCGCCTTCTCTGTCATCGAGGAACGGACCTTTGAGCAACTGTTTGCGGCGTAGCAGGACGCCACCGCGGGGGGGGGCGCCGCCGCCGTCTTATACGCCCACAGATACGCATTGGGGTAGGAGAGGCGAATAGTAAAAAAAAAAGGAGCAACTAAATGAAAACAAGCCGCCACAATGACACCTCGCTAGATGCATGACAGGCCTATAGAAGGAGAGCGGGGGGAGAAAGGGAAGGGATGAGCTGCTTCCTCCCTGATTTGCTTGTCTGTGCGGGGTGGCAAGGCCTAAGCCCCAGAGCTGCAACGAAAAAAAAAAAAGGACCGCAACAGAGTGATGCCAAGTAATACTTATATGTCTTGGTTTTCGGAGTAAATCCGAGTTAGTGTGCAATACCCTCACGTAGCGGAGGCGGGGGGTTTTCGCTTCTTGTGCGCGGGTGCGTATGCGTTCCATGTGTTGTCTACCTCCTTCCCCGTAGTCGACCTCGTTGTTGTCATGTTTTGTTTTACTCCCACGAATTGCTTGCCACACCGTCATTTGCGCTGCTGCGAAGGGGAGGACAGAAGGCACACACACAGAGAGAGAGAGAAAGAGACAACAACAAGGAAGGGCAGAAAGGTTGAACTATTGGTGTGGCGGGTCCGAGGAGGCGTTCCGCCCACTACAATTGCTGTCATTCTTTCTTGTTCTTTTATTATTATTATTATTTACTTTTTTTTTCCCCCACCCGTAGCATTTGCCTCTTTGCGTGCGGCGCGGGGGGATGAAGGCGGCCGAGGGCGGACAAGTCGTGGCGGACTACATCGCGCTCCCCAAGGCCCCCCGGTCGGAGTGGAAGGCGTCCGACTTTGAGCTGCTGCATAAGTTGGGGGGCGGCAACTACGGGGATGTCTACTTGGCCTCCGTGCGGGACTGCAACTTTGTGTGCGCCATCAAGAAGCTTTCCATCAAGAAACTTGCGGAGTTCGACATCATCACGCAGCTCCGCCGCGAGATTGAGATTGCGTTTCACACCCGTCACAAGTATCTCCTGCGCACGTACGGCTACTTCTTTGACGACGCGGACATCTACCTTATTTTAGAACCCTGCAGCAACGGGATGCTCTACACGGAGCTGAACCGGGTGAAGTGTTTTCCCCCGCCAACCGCGGCCCGCTACGTCGCACAATTGGCCGAGGCGCTTCTCTACCTGCACCAGCACCACATCCTTCACCGCGACATCAAACCGGAAAACATCCTGCTCGACCACAACCAAAACATAAAACTGGCGGACTTTGGGTGGTCCGTTCACGACCCCCACAACCGCCGCAAGACGTCGTGCGGCACGCCGGAGTACTTCCCACCCGAGATTGTTGGACGCCAGCCGTACGACGCGAGCGCGGACTTGTGGTGCCTGGGCATCTTCTGCTACGAGCTGCTTGTGGGGAAGACACCATTTGTGAGCAAGGACACAGAGAACATCTGCAGGAAGATTCACGCGATGCAGTACGTGATCCCCGAAACCGTGCCGCCGGAGGCGAAGGACTTGATTTCGAGTCTCTTGCTGCGTGACGGGACCAAGCGTCTCGCGTTGCACCGCGTGGTCAACCACGCCTTCCTGCTCAAATATTACTACCTCCCCAATGGCATTCAACCGCCCACGGGGAAGCGCGTGCGCGCCGCCGCGGAGGTCGCGAGTGGACGGGAGAACTAAAAAAAAGCAAGAAAAAAAACGCGTCCCGCCAAAACAAATTTGTGTTTGCAGTGTACTGTCGCTAGACGAGGATATAGAGCCAGAAGGGCTCATGTTAGTGTCAATGTGCCGTGGAAGAAAAAAAAAAGCATCGGGGCCAACACATTAAAGAAGAATGGAGGAAAGCAGAAGCAAGAAGTGCTAGTGGGGAGAGGGGGGTAGAAATGACGCTCTCCTGCTTTGGCACAACGTCGTTCCCCCTTGCACACAGCCATACACGCTCTTGCTCTCTTTTTCTCCTTCACTCACTCTCTCGTGTTTGTGCGATGAATGCAAGGAAGCTGCGGGTAAATGAATGTTCCTTCTGTTTCGTCTAGTCACCGTGGCAGAGGAAATGATGGGTGAGTTTACTAGATGGTTTCAATAGATGCAAATTCGTTCAGGCTGCGTTACTAGAATTGTGAAAAAGGGAGTAATGAAAGAAAGAGGTCCCCCACACCACACACTGGTTACATTTTGATGGTGCTGATGATGACGTTCCCCTCTGTAGAGAGCCGTGAGCGATTGGAGTGCCATGATGGGTCCCCCGCATGGATGTTCCTCTCACCGTTGCTCTGAACTGCGCGCGGTTTGACTGTCTCCCACTTCTTCTTTCGTGCTTGTTCTTTCTCTCTTTGTGATTGTGTCCCCTCCCCTCTTTCTCTTCTCGCTCCACACTTTCGGGCGCTTGTGAGAAGCCAACGGGTGTGGGAAAGCCATGGAGTTCTCCGGCAGCACTCTCTCCGTCTCCGATGTGGAGGTCATGGTGCAGCAACTGAAGCCGCTTTCGCTCGAGCAGGTTGGCACGGCAGAGTGGAAGGACGAGCGTGAGGGAGTGGAGCGACTCAACATGTGCTCTCACAGCAACGCCGTGCTAAAGAAAGACGATGCCGTGAAGGCATTCCTCGTAGAGCATGAAAAGCTTCCGGTGCTGTTGCATGAGTTACTGGTGATGGAGGTGTGGCGGCACCGCGTGCTGCCGCTAGTGAAGGACGCGATTGCAGGGAGCCCCGCGGCCTACTACATGTTTCCCTACTACGAGATGGTTTTGGTAAACCTGTTTGAGTGTATTTGTTTCCACGAAGAGGTGGTGGTGGCCCTCGGCGACGATGCTTTGGAGCTCGTCGATTATTGCTGGCGACAGGTCTCCCGACTCTTTGCAGAGAAGGGGATAAACGAGGTTCCGGCCAAACTCACCCCTCAACAAACTAGCGAAGAGGATCCGCTGCAGCATCTGGAGCGGCAGCTATCCCACGGCATGGTGCAGCGTGCCATGACCTCCTTGTCGATTCTTTGGTTTATCATTGATCGCCTTGGGCAGCTGCCGCTCTCGGTGTCTAATTCGGTGTTCAATAAGCATGACCTTCTCTTGGGCCTTTCAGAGATCATGCTTCTGCAGCCCTGGCTACGCCGCGGTCCAGGGGTGACGCAGAAGTACTCTAATGGAGAATTTAAGGATGTTCCGGAAGGGGATGCGCTGCTTGTGTGCATCCCTGAAGCGCACACGTGGTTCTCCCTCCACAAGATGTTGTGCGACCCCGAGTGTCGGCGGCGGTATCCGTACACGCAAAGCAAGAAGGAGCTTATTCTGCGCATCCGACGCTTCCTCAATGACACCCTTCTCGACCAGATGCCAGCGCTGGCCAGTGTGCAGCGGGCCTTGGAGGAGCTTTCCTTCATGCAGCCGCCCAGTGACACGGATGCAAAGCTAAAACGTGCTCTAACCATAGAGCAGGTTCCACGCATTATGACCGCAGTGGAGGCTTCACGAACGCGTAGTTGGGACGACATCGCCAAGACATTTGCAGCTATGCTGAGGGATCCACGCGTCAAGAACGAGGACGCCATGCGAATGGCACGCATTTTTGATGAGATGTTCACATAGTAGGAAGAGCAAACCTAGATGCTAATCTGAGGTGAGGAGGAAAGGAAGGGAGAAAGCGAGAGAGAGAGAGAGGGAGGAGGGAAGGAACACGATGATTGTAGTTTTTTTTTTAACATGATGTCCCCCCCGCGGTTCTGTATTTTCTTTTTCCACCCACCCGCCAGCCTTTTATGTTTGCACGGCACCACTTACAATGTTCTTATGCATTGTTTTTTACCTCGTTTTACATCTTATTCCTTCTCGTTCGTTGCTAGACAAGAGTTTGCGAGGCACTGGCAACGTGCGGCAAATGACCTCTCAGAGCAACCGGTACCTCTTTGGAAACGATTTCGGCTGCATTGTGAGGGAGAACCAGAGAGAGAAGCCATGGTATGGGCTGGATTGGAAGGACTGCCTGAATGACCAGACAGCGTATGTGGTCTCGGCGGGAGGTTCATTTCTCCTCTTGTTTGCGTTTGGTGCGCTTTGCATTCGCGTGAACGATGCGTGCCTTCTCGTCGACCGCAAAGGCCCCTGCTGCCGCTGCCTTGGCGAGCATGAGGCCGCCTCTCTTCAGTATCGGCAATCCAGTGCCTCACGAGCGCCAATATAACGATGTGTATTATGGCGTCATCGTGATGCTGAGTGCATGCTTCGGTGTGGCTTATGTGTATTTTGGAATTAACCAGGAATACCGGTTTTTTTTTTTTTTTTTGCATGGCGGCAACGCAGGCCATTGAGCTTCTACGCGTCACTATCGACACCGTGTTGGCGGGACCGCAGGGCGATGAACGGGGTGTATTTCGCTGGGTTGTCTTGGGCCTAGCAGGTTTTATTATGGTGGTCTCCTGGTGTCTCTTGCGTCGTGTTTACAAGAGCTTCGGCTGGACAATATTTCGTCGCGGTGGGGCCAAACGTAGTGTGCGAGAAATGTTCAGGATGCACCAGCGCCACCGAGCCTGCAACCTCCTAGACGCCCAGTGCGCCTGTTTGCTGTTTGCCGCGCTCGTTTTTTTTTTGTCCAGAGTTTCCACAAGGGCGGCTCCTGGGTGTTGATAGTCGTCCTTCTCTGTGAACTGATGGCGTCTCGCTACGCCGTGAAATACCTGAAGCGAGAGGACTACGGCGGCGTCCTCCTCCCTCTCCTCTGCGGGCCCGCCTTCTTCGTTTGCTGGACAGTGGCGTTGAACGAGTATGCGGCGTGCTGGCGGGAATTCCAAGGCAGCCGCGCCCGCACCCGCGGCTGGTGGTCGTCCGCGTTTTTCCCCTCTCTGGCCTCCGTGGCGTCGTACTACGCTGGCGGGGCGCGTCTCGCCAGCCACACCACCTTTGACACTCGGGTTGCGGAGATGTTGCTGATAAGCTACGTGTGTGTGCTGCTGTTTCGTGCGGCGTCTTTTTTTATCGGTGTGCGAATTGTGATGAACTTTGGGAGGGGGCATGAAAACCGTCTTTTACGTGCGCCCGCGGCCAGTTGAGCAGCACATGCTTCCCTGCGGTGAGGCTGGGGGGAAGGAGGGAGCCGCTGCGGGTAACTCGACGACCGGCGCCTATTCGATAGGCCTGCAGCAGATGTCACTGTCCCTCGCGGAGAAGTGAGAGAGCGGGAGGTGTGCGGTCGAGGAGGCAACGCGGGTAACGGCAGGACCGAGGGGGCAGGCAAGTTGGCGATGATGCCGGCAGCGACGGGGCATTTTTGTCCCAGTGGCGTGTATACTCCTTGGCGCTAAAGTATCGTGTGTTGTTTATTCCGCTTGCTTGTTGTTATTGTGATTGGCCTTTTTTTTTTTTCCTTTTCGCCCGTTCTCTTCCCCCTTTGCAGGCGGGGGGCGTGACTCAGTTGCGCTTTAGCTCCCCGTGAGTGTTGCCTCGTACCGCCTCCTCCGCCCGCCGTTGTTTTCAACCACTCTCGCTTTCGCGTTTGTTCTTTGTTTGCTTTTTCTCCTTGCAGGAGTAGGGGCAAGGCCTCGTTCAGGCGAGTATTGTCTGTCTCTGGTGACGCACGCGCACACGCGTGTGTCACTACTGCCTTCCATCCGTTGCTTATCGCACGGCGGGCAAACAACGTCGCTCTGCCGGTTGCAGGAAGTGGACGCACTCCCCACCCTCGCTCAGCACGCACATCATCGTGATTGTAAAGCAAGAAGGAGGAGGGAAGTAGGGGGTGACGGAGTAAGAAGCAGCAAAGGAGAAAGAAAAAGCAACAGAAACAGCAAGCAGAAAGAAGTAGAAGGAGAAGGAAAAAGAAGAAAAAAGCAAAGGAGGTGAAACGGAAAGTGATTAACAAGAACAAAGAGGAGGGTGGGGGGAGGGGGCAAATCATCGGTTGAGAAAAACCAAAAGAACATTGGCGGGGAGTTGGATCACCCCGGGAAGAGTAGCAGGAATAGCGGGAGCTCGCTCCGTGTGTTCCGACCAAGGAGGTCGTCCATGAGTGATTCTGACTTTCCCGAGCTTCCTTCATTCGAGGCCTTCGACACGGAGGACCGGCCACCGCCTCCTTCCATTGAAGACTACCCAATAGGATGCGAGGTGGAGCTTGTTGACATTGGCCCCGCGAAGGTGGCGCAAACGGCGGAGCTATGGGAGCCTTTTATGGACGAGTTATTCGGGCAATATCGGCGGTCCGTGCGAGTTGTGCGTCACCAGGGCGACTACACGTTTGTTGTGTGTGAAACTGAGCCTGATTTAATTATTGGTTGCACCTTATACCGCGCCTGCCTCAGTGAGCCCAAGGTGCGCTTCAAGAAATACATGCCAAGCAATGCCACGGAAGGTCCTATTGCCACAATCGGCGTTAACACGCGAGACGCCAATGACAACGGTCTCTTTGAGCTCTACACCAGCACCCACGAGGACGTGGTGCACGAAGCAGAGTTCGCGGTGCCTTCCGCGGCCTCTCCCCGTGGAAAAGATACCGTGGGCGCAAGTATGTGGGGCAACCACCGCCATTCACCAGGTGAATCTCCTCGACGTCCGCGTGGCGGCGATGGAGAAGCCAAGTCGGAGGTACCTTCCGCTGGGAAAGGTGATGCGGCACGTTATAAATACAACTACGCTACCAGGAAGGCCTATGACGCCCTCAGTAAGGAGAATTACAAGGAAGCGGTGCGCTACTATACAAAAGCGCTTAAATATAGCCCTGATGGAGGGGCAAGATGTCTATCAAACCGTTCTGTGGCATATCTCGGATTGCGCAATGTGGAGGCCGCCTTCTTAGATGCCACACGTGTAATTGAGTTAACACCTCAAAGTTTCGTTGGATACGTGCGTGCTGGGAATACACTGCGTGGGATGAAACGCTACGAAGAGGCAAGAACCTACTACGAGAAGGCGCTTGCGCTTGACCCAAACAACGAGACACTAAAGTATCTGCTGCTGAGTAACGCCATCATGATGTTGTACGCCTCCAAATATGAGCATCGTAAGGCAGCCTCTATTGCCTTGGACCGCAAAACTCTGAATGTCGTCCTTTTGGCGAAAAAGGACATGCGACCCGGCGAATTGGCGTGGGTGGAATCATCTGCGGCGGTGGTACTACTGAGGTACTATGGCCATGTAACGGACGCGGGCGACAGCGGCGTTCAAGGGGACCAGGACAAGGAAATCCCACCTAGCGTCTGTTTTCAGTGCTTCCGACCGCTGACGAGTATTGAGGAGTTTTGCAAAAGCCTACCTGAAGTTGAGCCCTCCACGCTTAAAAAGTTGTACAATGAACACAAGATTGTGCAATGTAATGGTCATTGCGGAGTTTTGTATTGCTCTGACAGCTGTCGGTCGAAGGCCTGGGCGGCGCACCACTGGGTGGAGTGTGTGACCCAAGGAAAGTGGTCTGAGGCGTACCGTCAGGTTCCTGGGCTGTTGAAGGATTTTGCTACGTCTTACAGCGCTGTGCCGAGCAGCGAGCGGCATAGCGGCAATAATATTCACCCTGAAAAGGGAGGCTGCTTGTCCCCTATTCTGGAGGACAACGTTGATGTTATTGTAGCTTGTGCTCGCATTGCCTGTCGTATGTTTGCCAAGATTCTGAGTAATGGACGACCCTTGGAGGATGCGGTTCACATCTTTGAGTGGATGCTACCTAAGGAGAGCACCTACAACTCCTGCGTGAGCCCGCCTACCAACAACTTGGTGCAAAAGAGCGTTATTGACGACCTGTTGATTCCTGTGTACAACGCATTTCAGCAATGCTTTACAGCAGAGGAGGCGCATTACCTGTCCTTCAATGCATTTCTTCACTCGTACGAACGTGCCAGATTTAACTGTGTGAAGCTGCGCATATCCGCATGGCCCGGAATTCGGGAGAAGGCAGGGAACTACATTGACCTTATGAAGATCCGAACTAGCGAAACCGGCGCCGCCCCTGCGGACGGTCACCCGAGAAGCGAAAACGCCGGCGGAGGGTCCCCCACAGACTCGCAACTCACTCAGTTGGGGCGTATAGTGAACACCCCGGCGGAGTCGGTGGCAGGCTACTTTGAGTGTCTGGGCGTCTTCAAGGTCTTTGCGGCAACGTTTGCTCCAAGGTGCGCGCAGCAGGAGCCGCAGGCACGCTACAATGTGAAGGTGCGGCCCATCATCGAGCCCGGCGCCATTATTCACATTGATGTCACGGAGAGTATCCAGCGGGACGAACAGCTTGTCTCGGACAGGTTACTCAACGAGGCGATTGCATAGTAACTACCTATGTTCCTCCTCCACCTCCCGCTCCGCCAAGGCTCCCCTCTCCATCTCGCTATTTTTCATCCAGGCGGCGGCCTGGGGCGAAACAAGGCTTTAAAAAAAAAAGTGGAAATGGGAGGGAGAAATATGAAGAAAGAGAAGTTAAAAAGAAAACGTGGTCGGAGGGAAGCGAATGTGTGAGTTACGGTGTCCATGGTCCGGAATAATGCGGATGGCAATGGAGCCCCACATCTTCCTCCCACTAAAAGACGGAATAAGCAACAAACAAACAGATGATACAAAAGCACCCTGAAGAATGTAGCAGAATATACAGATAGATAGATATATATACGCATATATGTAAGCAATCGACATTGTAAGGGGCACGACAGGCGCAGGAGGAACAATTGGAACGGTTCTTGGAGAAAATACGAGAGGGCGACAGGAGGGAGGGGAGGGGGGGCGAACACCTTTGAGTCGTTGTTGGTGTTGTTTTCTGATTCCTTCGGGTAATTTTACTGTAAGCTTCTATTTTTATTTTTATTTTTTTCTGAAGCACCTGCGCTCACATTCTTTCTGGCACCAAAGTGATACTTTAACTTGGTTTCACTTCCCAAGGGACAGTTGTCGTGCCCTCCTGTCGATGTTGTTTTGTTGTGTGTGTGTGTGTGTGTGTGTGTGTGTTGTTTGCTTCTCTTGTTTTGTTACTCCTTCTCTCAGTGGGTGGTTGTCTGCCTCTCCAGTCCTATCATATACGGGCTTAATTTGCCCTCTTTTTCTGCACTTCAACCCTCTTCATGCGTATTCTCTGCTTGTTTTCTATGCTCAAGTGTTTTATATATGTATATCTATACATAGCTGCCCATTGTTTTTGATCTACGGAGCAGTCGTGATGTCTGTGACTCTCACCTACTCCACTTGTGTGTGTGTGTGCTTTGTTGTTGGTGCTTTTGATTGGCTTTTGTTTTCTCCAAGTGGTTCTTATTTGCGTGTTTTTCCTTCTCCTGTTGTGCCCCTCTTTTGTTGTTGTTGTTTTTTCTTTTTCTTTTTGTTTCTTT